GGACTCGGAACGGAAAGCAGCCACATTTTGATTTGACCATGCGTATGGTCCCTAAACTTTGCTCCCTGTGCATCGGGGTCATTCGTATCAAAAAGAAATCACTTTCAGTCAATAAAGTCTTCACTGGTTTTTTTTAGATTTCGTTGAAAGTCTTCGGTAAACTATTCGAATTTCAGGTGAAAAAGGTGGAAGAGGTGTTGGATGTCGAAGGAGATGTGTCCGAAGAAAGCGAAATGTCCGAATCAGACTTTGACGATGATGACAATGAGATCGGTAAGTGTAATTTATATTGTGCCGCTATTTACCCTGTGAATAGATATTCTAGTATCTACATCGCGCACACATAGTTTCATCATGGCAAGTCTCCAAAGCCATATAGTGCCACAGAGAAAGCAAATGATCTCCGAACCTAATTTACCCAAGAATTTCGAAGAACTGTTCATTCATTAGTGTTCGCATTTGCCAAGTTACCTCCAAAGCTATTATATTCCTAACAATGGCCAAGATTCCTTTTGTGCACGGAGTTCGACAACATGGTTAAGATGACGTCACCTAAAGCGCTAATTTGCACCAAGCCCTCCTTGCTACATAGATTTTTGCGCGGAGTTCAGAAACCTTGAGAGTTCCTTTCAAATTACTTGCGCCCTCTTTCGTTCAGTGGCAGCAGTTTGAAGGATTTTAATTATTTTTCTTCAGATAAAATTCTTGAATTATGTCCGCATTTTTCTTCAAATAAACTTTCAGTAGCTGTTTCCTTCTTATCGTTTTTCGTTATCAGTCGGTGGATCTGATCAGGCTATTCATTAACACTCTCGTGGAGGAACATGGTTACTATAACTACTACTTAATGCGACTGTTGTAAGGGTTCTCAGAAATAGAGCGTTTGAACTCATTATACTGGGCTTATCCGACTGTTTGAGAATCAGTTGGCATAATTTGTGGGTTTCCAACGGTGCACTTTTGGGGTGCGTTCATCTTTCAACGGTGCACTTTTGCGGCGCGCTCATCTTATCGTGTAATGTGATATGTACATCACGAAATCACACAGGTCACACCTCATCTGACGTATTGTCTTGATGGAGGTGTTGATAGGCTGGCGATGAATTTACCTTCTTGCAAAATAATATGTATTAGCTGAATATTGCGCTCAAGCCAGTCTGCCGGCGTCTTTCCTTAACCAAGTAGTCTAGCCCACATACTCCGAGACTGTCCCTTTTTTTGCGGCTTCACAGTAAGTAACGAAGGCAGTGCGGCCCTCATAAGTGGCAGTTCTGACGCCTGCCTAGTTGTTCCACCCACCAAAACTCAAAAGGCTATTCTCTGTCCTAGGTTCAGTCTTTACACCATGTTTTTCATTTCTTTGGACTGTTAGATGGTATTAGCACTGGATGTCTCGAAGAATCTCTCAGTGAGCCAAGGGCGACAGGACATCGCTTGGTGATATAAAACGAGCCCGTTTGGAGATATCGTACGGTTGAGCTGGAGATTCATATGGTGTTCTCAATGTTTTTTTGTTTCTTTCAGACAAGACACTTAGCGACTATAGCTTCGTAACTGAACGCAACTATCCACAATAGCAATCGCGGTGCTTTTTAAGATCGTTGTTGGACAGACCATGAGTATTTTGGTAGGCTTGATCAAACAGATGAGTACCGTTTGCTAAGTCGCGGCATCGCGCGCAGACTAGCAGACTACTAGGTATCTAGCTGCCGTGACATAGCACAACGCTACGGTGGCTCCTGGGGTGCGTCTGCTCACAGCACCTCTTTTTCCATGTTCGCCACGGCTCAGGACTACCCAGATGTACGGTACACTGCCCAGATTAAAGTGATGACCTGCTTCAGTACATTCTCGAAGGTCTGGTCCTCAGAGTTCAGACACTTCTCTTTTTTCTGGTTTTGTACATAGTCAATGACTAGATCTGAATCTTTTTGCAAGCAGTTTTTCATCTTTTTCGTCACCTTCCCTCCACCTTTGTTGTGGCTCAGATTCCACTTTCAGTCTTGCATGGAGAATATCATGGAGGATATCCAATTTTTCAGTTTTTTTTCCTCATGATTTGGAATGTTCGTGATCGTGGGTTCCTGCCATACGAAGGCAAGGTGACCAAATGAGATAAGTTGGAATACTAGAGTAGCGCAAATAATTAGATCAAGTACGTAAGTGGGGCCTTCTTTACGGTAGAAGTGTGTGAAGGAATCACGATGTATACAGTTCGAATGACTTACAAGAGGTCTGTGCTCTCTCATTTAGTAGCAGGAAACAACAGAACATAAGCAGACAGTGACTTGGGCACTTGGCAGATATTCAGAGAATTAAAAGACTTTTGCAGTGAACCAGGCTTCTCAGATGATGTGTAAGAGCATGCGAAATCCAAAAAAGTTTGTGGTTATTCACTCGCATTCCAATTTATGTATGATGAAAAACTGATCACAAACAGGCACAGAAGGCTGGAAAGATGAAGTCGAATTCACTGCTTGCACCGCACCCAAGAGTCGACCGATCCGCACAATTTTGCATGCATTGATTGAATGACCGATTTCTCATTCTTCTAAAACAGGGAGAAGAGGGAAACTAAAGTGCATGTACTCCTTTATGCATAATCTGCAAAACACAAGAAGGGCAAGTCATCCGTCAGCTTGTACCTAACACATGCTCGTCGATTCACCGATATTGCTGTTCCTAATGAGCGGGTATTTAAAATTACACGCGGAGCGTCCGGCTTATCATTTCTGCCTTAACCTGAAGTAGTTATGACCGTAGTGATAGGCGTCTACATAGTTCGAAAATTGGTCTGTTTTGCCGCCCCGATGTTTATATTGAGCTCTTTGGAGAATGTAAGGCGTTGTTCACAGTCTGCGACCCTGACGAAACGGCGTTGGGCGAAAAGCAATAGATGCGTATCGATTTCGCTGGCGAAAAACGCCAGGGCGATGGAGCTAGCGTTTCGTCGAAGGCGAAAAACGTCGCGGTTTGGCGAAACGCTCCGTCGATTCGTATCAAAACCCTTTCGCCCAACCGGCCATAAGGCCGATACTCTTGCGGCCCAGCGCCCAGTTCGATACGCTATCGAAAAGCTTTCCGCCGAAGCATTTCTTTCTAAAGAAACGCTGGGCCGCAGCCTGTGAACAATGCGTAACGCTTTTCAGAGGGGGGGGGCTTCAAGATTCTGGAATTTGTGCAGGTCCATATAATCCGTTGGACTCATTGAATTTGGGAGCTTTATTCAATGTTTTTAGTAACGTGAGAGGACTGTGGAGGTTTTCATACTTGACATGTAGTCTCAATGCAGTCATAAATATTATGACTGCAAGGAATTTCTTCTTCAGTTGGCATTAGCCCACAACTGCAGTCTACCTGAACGGGGCCACTTGCTGGCTCATTCCACGCCTCCTGACAGAACGGATTTTGGTGGTGTATACTGTAAATATCTTGCTATGTCTTATTATTGTACCGTTTTTTCTTGAACGTGCATTTCAAAATCTCAAGATCGTGTATGGAAGCTTCATACTAATCCTCTTTTATAGATGGTGTCGTTGGAAACGAATGGGGACGTAAAAGGAAGGACTTTTATGGGACAGAGTGAGTCATTGTAATGACTTTGCACCAACCACAATAGCACTCATCATTTTCTTTGAGGGGCTTTTTTAACTTTCTTTTCGAGAGACTTTATTTCAGTAATCCTCCCCGTAGTTTAGGTATGTTGATGAGGATTGGGGAGGGATGCGAGATGAAGAACTCGAGGATGCAGAACTTGAGGAAGAAGATGCAACCAGTAGACAGGCAGCACTCGACAAGGCAGCTGCCGTTACAGCTGATTTATTTGAGGAGCAGGAATACACAGATGTGTCACAAACGGTTCGTGTTGTGCTCTTTTGGCATCCGTTACTCTAATGGGTACGCTGGCTGTTTTTTCTTTTTAATTGTTGCTGTTTTGTTGAAGCTTGTACTGTTCAAGGTGGTCAAGGAAACGGCACTAGAGTGGAAATTCGCAACTGTAAAGAAGCTTAACAAGCGTACGGGAGAAATTGTTGAAGAATACTGCAGAAGAGTAGGTAGTTCTCGAAGTTGAATTTCTTCTCCTGTTAATGTCTTCGTGGCCATCACCTTTGTTTAAATCACTTAAGCTTTTTTTTTAGAAAGACCTCATGAACGTGGTTGTGGAGCCTCTGATTCCTGTAATAGAACTTCTTCCAAGTACGTCAAGCATTCGTAAACAACTGTTGCTGGAGATCGATGTGTATTCTAAGTGAGTGGACTATTTTCTTAATGTTATAACCTTATATCCTCTATTAACATTTGAATAATTCAAAGGTGGAACCTGTAAGGCATCACCTGCGATTTACTAGTGAGAAAGTCGTGTTTCCCATGTTGAATGTAAATCGAAAGAAGCCTGTAGGTGGCAAGAATCATAACTCGCCGCGCTGATCGTATGTAATGTCTCTTCTGCAAAGAACGATGTTTCTAAGTCATAGATGGTGTCAGCAGTGCATGTATAGCCACATACAGCCATAAATGTCTACGCTGTCGTAGACTACATGTAATGCGGTGCTCCAATTGACAGGCTGCTACAAATGAAAATCTGGGAATTTGCCGCTCCGTCGCGCGCGTCGCACCCTTCGCCGCGCGCGACGGAGCGGCAAATTACGATTTTCTTGACCGTCTCCCAGAAGAAGCAGGGTTCATTTTTCATAGACCGTCAGGAGAAGTTAGTTGCTATCATTTTTTTTACCAATATGTGGAAAACGGTAAGGGCAGAGTTAGTGGTGTAGTACAAATGTAGATGGTGATAAGGATCGACTGCGTATGAAACTGACTTTGTACAAGGTTGGCCGATTGTTGCTACTCCTCCCTCTATAGTTGTGACTGTTTCGTTCTTTTTTAAATGAATAATTATTCTTTCAGATATATATTGAACATGATGTTCTACCTTGAAACTGAAAGCGGATTCTCTTGCAAAGAAAAACATTTTGGACGATAATATCGATGTGCATCCCGTAATGGCAAGGATAGATAGATTTGCTAAGGTAAACGTCTAAATTTTCTCTTTCAGTATGTATTTCATGACATAGGAGGCGCTGCCTTGTGTGCAGATTATAGCAGTATTTCCTAACTGGACAATGGCGTGCTGCTACATTGTCTTCTGGGGTTGGGTCCTGGTGCAAAAGATCCTGCTTATAATTCTTCCGCTGCTTTCACCGCTGTTCGGATGAGATGAACCACACACTTTCCTTAAGTTAAGTTTCTTTGACTGATTAGTCCATTGTGAGGAAACAGCTCACTATTGAAAGATTTCAAATTTCCTCCCGCCTCCCCGCTCCCTTGTGAGAGACTCAGTTTTTATATAAGAGTTGGAGTACGTGTCCCCCAGTAAGAATGGTAACAGTGAACCATTAAACTTTTTGAAATTCGATCCACGCAGTGAATATCTTATATCTTCATACTTCCCAAATGTTGAGCATGTACGACTCCGAGAATTCGCGAGTCGGGGTTCAGTTTCCAAAAACTGAGTGAATCGATTGGCTCTTCCCATTAGGGTTTGTGCGGATCGCACAAAGGCGCGTTTGAAGGATGTGCCGATCAGTAGAGTACGCGTTGCCGTACCTTTCGAATTCGCCAAATTTCGTTCGCAAAGCAAATGTTGGTGGAAGTGTGTTTTAGAAATCGTTTCAATAATCTCATATTTTAAGATGATCAAAAAAGTTGATGCGTTCTTGGACAAAAATGCGACTTCATTGAAGAGGCTAATCAAGAAGGCAGCACAAGGGCAGGTGCTGGAGTCTGTTGTCTCGGAGCCGTCAGGCAAAGCAGTGCCGCAGGTAACTTCAACAAATTTTTGTCATGAAATCGGCTCTTACCTGGTTTTCCTTGTTTGCAGTGTTCTTACATATATTGCATTTTTCCCATTCAGTTTTTTGTGGGTGCTAGAACTTGAGAGGTGGTTTACCGCTTTGAGACCGAATATGGTGGTTCAGGGGCCTGGGATGTGACAGAGTGAGGGTAGGGTAACTCAGCTAACTCACGAAAGGTAACTCAGGCAACCATGTGATCATGTCTGTTTGCATTACCCCACCCCACCCCCCCCCCCCCCCGAAAGTAACGGTCGAAGAGGCATCAGCTGCGACGATCATTTGGATCATCTATGGGTAACATTAACCTTTTGATTGTATAGAGCTTCCTTGGGTGCAAGGTATCGTGAACAGTGTAATGTAAGTTCCAGTCTTGAAGGAGAGATCAAAAGTTCTAAACAGTCATGATTCGTTTGTTGATGAGCTATTTGTAGTAGTAGCGGCCACATAATTTTTGACCGTCTTCGAAAAATATGTGAGCTAAAGTAAATAGTAGTACTCTCGTAGTATGGTTTCATTTTCAGAGCAGTGAACCGGTGCAATCGATGGAATTTGTGGAAGAGGTTGATGAACTTGAAGATTCGAGCTCGATGCAGGATGATCGAAGGAAAGCTGATAAACGCATTGAGAAAAACTCTGCTCTAGATTCGAAACGCAGAAAGAAGAAGGAAGCACGAATAGCAAAGGTACTTAAAATCAGTCTGATTTTGTGATTGCTTCGTTAGGTTTCTGTTCTGCTGTCAACCCAGGGACCATGGGATGCCGTGTACTGCGTCTAGCGTTGATCAGCATTTTGAGATGGACCGCGCGTTATACTTCTATTTGCATTGGCAGTTCGCCTCCAGAAGTCCCTCTAATGCCAGATGTGTGTGTGTGAATCAGTGCTGCTGATCTCCCTACAAACAGCTGAGTGCCTCTTCCGCGATCCGTTACAAAGAAAGATTCTGACCTGATCGTGCAAACCGTGGTAGCGTCTTCTCATGTTTGGTCAGCTCGTGCTTATGGACTATCAAACAGATCACATCGCTGTTGAGGAACTCTGTACGAGAGTTGCGTTTGACTGGGTAAACTTTTCCAACGTTGATTTTTCCGCCGTCCGAGGCACAATATTCGCTATATTACCATTCGCGCTATATTGTTCCAAATAACCCTCCTAGATGGCAGCATTTCTCTGAATCAAATAGTTGATCCTACCCCTTCCCTGTGAGACGGATGGTGGGAGGAGTGAGGACAGAGGGTCGCTTTTTGTAATTTTTCTTCTCGCCATGATATGCCCATATTGTATGAGCGGTTTCGGTTTCTGGTACAGTTTTCTTGTTCTGAGAGAACCTGTGATGTTCTGTCCTGTGATGTCTTCCGGCGCGGGGATAGGAGTAGTCGTTGCTGGGACCAAAGCTCAGAGGGAGGTACGCATCGCGTTGTGTAACATTTTCGACAATCACCTCCCTCGAATTTGTTCCCTCTGAAAGACCATTCACAATACATCTTTCCGAAATCTTTACTGTCGAGCGGAAGGGGGTAGATCCCAACGTTATCACAACTTACTATGAGAAAAGTAAGTCCAATTTCTGCGGCACCACCAAACGGAAAATCTCACAAACGAGAAACTTTTTTCACACCCCCGTCCATCCCCATCAATCAAAATACGACCCCTTATCGACCTTCTGCCAGTGATAAGAGCCTAAAATATGAATCAGCTATCAGGGATTGTATTGAGGGCATCACGACCCTCACTGTAGCGGCCAAACTGTGACAGCCTCCGTTGAGTTTCTCGCATGGGGCACTATGCCCTGAGCACAGATCAAATTAAATTGTAGCAGTTCCCTAAGATACTATTACTGCACGATATGTCTTATACTCGCTTGCGGGTGGCTTTGCTCAAAGAGCGCGTCCCATAGATCCATTATAAAAGAATAAATAGTAAAAATTGTCCCAGAAGAGCAAGACCATTTACTGGGTGATCCACCCTGCAGAAAATATGACAAACTGCGGACAGCATCAGTATTATAGCCTTTTCGCTGTGGATCAAGGGGAGTGTCAGTGAGGTGGGTTTGGCGCGCCACCAGCCCGTACTCCACCAGTTGTTGAAGCAGGTGAGCGACTGTAATTGGCGGCACATGACTGATACAAAAATATGATGCAGTATTATCGCTGTCGAAGGAAAAGAAATGTGCTGGCGCTGTGCCAAGCCCACCCGTCTCGCCCATCATCCCGTGAAAAAAGACTACTTAGTCATGTGGGTGAACGACTAATCGGCATCTTGTTGTGTAAATAAGCGTGCATTTATGATATATGGTTTTTTGCAACAAAAATGATTTTTGAGCTGTCTTTAATGAACTGCTGCTCCCTTCTCTGAAAGTAATCCTTTCCAGACGAAGAATCGTAAACGCTATAAGGAAGCAGTGAAAAAGGTACACTCACAAGTCGGCACACTCCGTAAGGAATTAGAAAAGTATACTGGAGAATCGAGAGGAATTCGTGTTAGTACGGTAAGATCCACGAAGCTCATCGCATAAGACTGCGGCAATCAGCGATGTTTTCGTCGGTGACTGTTTCGTGCTTGAATGTTGTTTATTGTTGGCTTGGATGGAGATATACATTATATTAAAAGTATTAAGGTTGTTCTTTTGTTGAGTTATGTTTGCCGATACATAATGTAGCAGTGTCTTTACGTTAAGCATTATTGATAGACGTTATGGCATTTTGTTTGACAGTTATGCTGTCTCACCATGCAGCAATTTGTATCACCATTCGCGGCGTTCGCGCCGATGCGTTGCACTTTTGATCGATTTGCAAAAGTGTGACTCCCTTCTGTTATAATTCGAGAGCTTTTTGCAGTCTCATCAGTTTCGTACGATCTTTTTGCGTCCGTTTCGTTCCACACAGAGTTGCTTGCCATATGGAGTTGTAAGGTTCCCCAAAAATTCACATGTGATGGCCATTAAGGCGAAACTTTTCCAGTGGCGACCGCTTTCGCTATGCTAACACCTCTTGTCTTTTACTTTAAGTGCATCGGAGATCACGGTGTTGGGCTCGTGCGTGATTATTGCAGCTTTTTACACTATTTTTATCCAGCCAAACAATAATATCCTCGTTCCGTCGTCCCTCCTTAACCTCTGGATTGAAGGTTAAGGCGCTACGATCACAATGAGTTACGATGTAGTTGTTAGATAGGAACTAGTACAAATGGAAGAACTACTTCTCGTTTGGACGTTGAAGAAAGGAAGAGTGGAGGCCCCTACCTGGCGTGGATCAGTCCGCGAAAACTAAACTATCTCTTCGAAGCCCACTTCTGAAAAATTTTTGTCAAACATGTGTTTTATTCGTTTGTATTATAGTTTCTAGACTGAAAAATCATCAAAACTACTGCCAAATCATGGTCACCTCTGCTTACTACTGATGGTGTTTATCATATTCACTGACTTCGATCCTACAAGAAGTCTCACAGTCTAAGACGACGATCCACCTCGTTGTGTCCGGCCCCTTCCTGATGCGGGTGCTAAAAGGGTTACGGGGCTGTTGTCTGCTCTCACTGCGAGGGTCCAGGGGCATTTTCACGAGGCATCTACCAGTCCAGTAGTTGGAGGGAGAAGGTAAAGGAGGAGGGATCAGAGAAGGAAGGAAGGAAAAGAAGGAAGGAGGAAGAAAAAATGAAAGAGAGGAGAGGCTTCCCGGTTGACAAGTGCCCTGAGACGGAACCAACCCAAGCAGCCACCAGGACGATTCCTCTGTTGGGCGACCGTCACGTGCACCAGTGCGGCATAGCGATTGTCTTGTCGCATCCCCGGTTGTCTTGTTGTAAGGTGTCGTTTCTTTTCGAAGTAATGGAGAATGAATCGTCCAAATGTTATGATTCCATGAGGAGAGGTTTGCGAAAAGAAACAACAGAAAGAGATGTGTTTGCCTGGGAAGAGATACTCTTTTACCGAGTTAGGGGAAACACTGATGGGGTCGAAAGAGATAGCGTATCTCATTAGCTCGTGCATGTCTGGGGTGCGCGCCCATTTTTTTTTGCACGTGTCCGCTGTTGTCATGGTTTTGTCTGATAGCCATAAACCTTCGTGATTCATAGCTAGTACAAAAACACTGCCGAGGCAATTTTCTGGCGGCACTGACGTTGATATGCGAGGAGGTCTATGTACTTGAGCAAGATCTAGGTAGTTAGGCGTGTCAGTTCAGCTTATGTAGCTTTTGAATAATTGATATTTAAAAAGTAGGGCTAAATCTTTTTGGTTTTCCGGGATATTTCTTAGTCTTTGATTCTCGACCTTTCGCTAAATAGTCCGCGCTATTTGAGATCTCCAACAGGAGAATTTGTTTGTTTTGTAAATTTCTTTTATGAATGCGCGCATTAATTCTTATCCCCTCTGTTTGCGTTATCGTTGGTCGTTCGCTGTCTGCCATGCACTTTTGAATTTTTGGGAAACCATCCTGTAATTTTCACATAGCTCGTGGTTTTCATATGCTTTGAATCACCCAATAACATTAGCGTTTTCGATTGCCTTCCGTCGCTGTCGATGTTGTTGAAGAAGAACCTAAATCCAGACGATACAGCATTTAGTGCTGGTATCTACTGCTTTTATTCGTAGGTCCGCGTTGTTTGTTTGTTGTTGTTGTTGATCAAATAAAGAGAAGAGTTCTACAGCATTATCCCGAAATTTCCGTGATGCGGTTTAAGAGTCCGTGTTGTAACAGCTGAACTATTTCATAACTTTTCATAAAACTTGTTTTTGCCCTGTTATTCTCCTTCCATTCGCTTTAAATTCTATTCAGTATGTCCATGAAAACATTTTAGATTTTTGTTCAATTGACATATTCAGATCGGCCTGATTGGATTTCACAGGAAAAAAGTATGAGCCAAAACCGCTCACTTGGCGAAGGTCGCATATGTAGGGTAAGGCTTTGAGGATTATCAAAATCAATAGTTCTTATTTTTCATTTCGACTTCAGAACCTATTAAGCAAGAGTTAGGAAGTCGTTAAGAACTCTTGGGTGTCTGACGTGTTGCCGTTTGTACTTTTATTTCTGACGGAGAGAAGGTAACTGGCCCTCAACCTTTGATACTGTCGTCTTACCCATGATCCTGGCGAGTCGCAGGCTAAACGCTGCCTTGTTTGTGAGCAAAAAGGTAACATAAGGAGCGCAAACATGTTGAAATTGACGCGAAAAGCTCCAAAATTCGCTAATTGGCCGTAAAGTAGGGCATATTTTCCAAACGGATTTGTTTCTTCCATTTTGTGCGTAGTCTGTGTAGATAGCAATTAAGAGTGGTCAGTGAGCATGCAAGTGCTCTACGAATAAGTCTCGTGCGCTGCGGATAAAGGGGCGTGTCAAGTGGATTGGGTTTGGCGCGGCAGCAAATCCGATACCAGTTGTTGAAGTGGTCGAGTGACTACAGTTGATGAAATGTTGAAGCGAGCATTCCATTCCGCCTGACATGTTCCTTCAGCTGCAGCTACGAAAACTGTACTTTTATCCATTCCGGAAAGTAGCAACGCTCCATCAAGTCATTCACCCTAATAGCTATAATTGTTTTGAGTTTCCTGAACTACTTGAACCCTGAAAGGTTTACAAGTGTAGTATCGGCTATTAGCGCAACAAAATGATAGCACAACTGATTGGCACTGGCCGCTGTCACTATTGTGTGGAAGTGTCTTGATGGAGAGGCTGTAACAAATAGAGTCACACCCTGGTATTTTACCCTTTGTTTCCTATCAGAGAGTCAGACTTCACAGGAAACCGGCGGATAATAGTAGGAATCTGGTATTTGAATAATGGGTATTGGACTGCCTTTCCAAATGATTATCTCAACCAAAGGATCGCATTAAACGAGGAATTTGTCAAAAAGTAGGCCAGGTCAAGAGAGAGGTATGGGGCGTAACGTCTACGGCCTATTTCGCGGCGAGGATGGCCAAAGAGTCTTTGCTGATGACGTGACCTGCGCGGCATTTACACCACGGTCTACCATTCAATATCCTTGTATTGCAGCATATCGAGTCAACTAGTTATGAAATGTTTTGCTGGTCTACGCGTGTCATCGCAGTGGGTAGGTAGTGGCTAGGACACTCAAGTGAAGTGTTGTTGTCGAGTACGTTGATTACCCCGGCTAACATGGATTTTTGCTTCTATTATCAACATAAACCAAGAACGCTAATTTCTCTATGTCTCATAGGCTTCCCCTATGTCGCGAAAACATCTTGCGTATGCTGCGGCTTGTGCAGTCTTGTTCGCTGCAGGCGATTGGGCTTGTCAGGGAGGATGGTTTTGACACACCTTTTCTTTTTTTTCCTGTCGATAAGCGACGCGACTGTATCATATCGTTCGTATCAGTCGTTTTTTGCGAACTAGCGCTGGTTACCCGCTTCAGAAACTGATGCGGTAGGAGCTAGCGGCTCCCCAAACCCAGCCGCAGTGACACGCTTGATCATCCGCAGCGAACAAGACAGTATCTCATCTTTTGTACTGTTTGTGGAGGGTCGCCGGTGATGGCCGCGCCGGCAAATCTCCGTAATTGGGGGGGGGGGGCGTGAGGAGATGCTATGGTCTGTGATCGGTCATCTCAGCTGATCAAACAAGATAAGTTAGGCTTGACAACAGTGAGATTACTACGAATGCATTTCGGTTGTTTTCTGGCACATTCTAGCCCTTTTCAGGATGCTTAATGTCAGATTTGTATTCCTTCCTTTGATAAGTTCGTTGCTCTTCAGCGTGAGAGAATTTATTAAAATGTGTTCATAACGCATTACATTCGTTAAAAGCGGCCTCCCAAATCGACTTAGACCTTCAGAGCGTAAAGAGGCAGAATTATCGTGAAACACGACCATTGGCGGATTCATTAGTAGAGCAAGACGGTTCAGTTTTTTTTACGAGAGCGAAAAAGCCATTAATTACCATGCCATATCGTAGTAAGCTGCTGTTCTTCTGTAATTCATCCCTGAAGCTGGGGCAGAGAAGTCCTCTTTATCCTAAAACTTGAGTCGTTTTAGATGATGAAAAAGTATGCATATATAAATGATGAGCGATTGGGGAATGTTTATTTTCCTATAGCAGCAGCATGTATATCTGGAGAATGCAGTGATCTTCGCGAAAAATTTACGGTCAGTTCCTTTTGTTTTTTTGTTGTTCATTTTCTAATGTTTTGCTTTTTTGATCATTTTTTATGGTGGTTGGTTTTGACGCTTTTGTGGCATAGTGTGAACCTGCACTTGGATGCACATTACGTCACAAAACAGATTTGTTTACAAAAATGTGAGATCACGAGTCTGTAAGTTATCATTTTCCAGCCTGATGAAGAAGTTATATTCACGGCGCAGAAGCAAGCGCAACCCCAAAATGACTGTCAGTTTGTCGCAACGTCTGTTATAAAGAAACGTGAATTGATACCTGTATCTGGAAAAATATGTGAAATTTACGATAAGTATGTTCTCATGATCGTTTGTGCGACACTGTTGGTTGATGTACATCGTACTTTTTTTTCACTCTTTGCTTTGATTAATTCTCTCTTTTTTGACTATATCTTCTTAGCATCACTTCTAGTACTGTGAGATCTTGTTCCTCTCAGCGGCAGCAATGTCGTGCTGGGGGTGCGTAGCAGAATGGAAACGTTTAGCCGTCAGTAAGCAAGCCCTCTGTTAGGGAGCGCAGCCAGCTATCAAGTGTTCTTGAAGACAAAATGTACGCATACCTCCGCGGATCCTGGTCCTTGCCATGCGCGACTGTGTCCTCACCTGCAGTAGCGTACCACTCTCCCTGATAAAAAAAATGCACGGGAACGGGGCTGGAAGATAGTGGTATCCTGGTGTCGTCTCCATACTCCATCCTTGCTGCCGCACGTCCTAACCATAGCGAAATAGCGAAACGCGCTACTCGTCTGCGCTACGTCTCACTTATGGATAATACCTTCCACCGTGTTTGTGTTTCGCTGCGGAATCTTGGTATCGATGTAAGCGCTGCACAACGAAGGTAAAGTGGCCGGAGTATGGAAACAGTACTCTCCAGTCCCGTTCCCGTGCGTTTTGTGGCGAAGAGAGTGACATGCTATTGCAGGTGTGGATCCATTCAGTCGCACATGGATTTGGAGATTAGTTGTGCAGTTTGTTTTTAACTTAGCACATTTTCCCTTCTGTGCTCTGTTTCCCACGCTAACCCTATGAATCCTTTACATTGCTGGCTCTTCTGCTCTTTTCATCGATATCTTTTCTTGACTTATTTACACAATTCCCTGTTTTTCTGAAAGCGTCTGTAGAATTCATAGTGTTAGCGTGGGGAAAAAGAGCATAGAAGGGAGAACGGCGAAGTTTAAAAAACAAACTGGTCTTTAATCTCCAAATCCAGCGCTGGTGAAGCGCTTAAGCTTATTTAAGATTTACTACGCTTTGGACTGAAGTCGGCTATTCCGATAGTGTAGGGTGCATAACATCCACCATTCTGCGATTCATGTCGATTTCTCGTCACCAGTTCCTCTTTTTTCCCCCTTGAAGGCGAGCTTCTAACAATAAATGAATGATTGTGATAATCTCACTTAATGGCTCGCCATAAGCACTATGAGATTTCATACGGTGCTTCAGAGCTGACGGAAGATATCATCAATATTGTGCTGCCTATGATTAAGTTTAGCAGTCCGATTCTAGTTTGTGAACTCCAGTTCCGTTACTTATAGATATTGTTACGCTGAAGTTAAAAAATATGGGCGAGTTTTCGTACCTTATTCGGCTAGAAACGATTTCAACAAGCTCAACAAACCATGGTTGGGATATGGTGCTGAAATGGATAAGACTATCCAGTTGAAGGTGAATACTTTACGCGATGGTTTACTACATTTAGCCCTTCCCTATTTAGTTAGGGGAGGAGTTGCTTGTCCCTTCTCTATTTGGTCAGGGGAGGAGTTGCTTGTATTCTGTGCTTGTGTCAGTAGAGCTGCTACCTCAACTTCCAAATGGGAAATTTATTTGTGCATCCATCGTACTGCCGAAATATCCCGATAGTCTCGATACTGTAGTGGGTAAGGGCACGTACATACTTCCCCAACTTCTCCGATCGATAGAATCGCTAAAAGCACGCGTTTTGAGCGATTGCATCGCGAAATATGAACATGACCTAAGCGATGTATACTGATAACATAGGTGCTGGTTCGAATCCCGTAGAAAACCACGCGTTTTTTTTTTGCTGATGGGCATCCTTGTGTCTTCAATACTAAATTCCAATCAGGCTGTGATTCTGGAGAGGTACAGTGAGAGGGTGATTGTAGGACGTATAAAGCGTCTCAGCTGATTATTGTTGTGTTTCAGATTTTTCGCCAACCGGATATCAAGAATTGCCGATATGTTGCCTGGAGTATAAATATGAATCTTGTAGATGAGAAGAAAGGTTTTGAAAAAGTTCCCGATAGAGCCAATGGTCAGGTAGGTGATTATGTGAAATAGTTGGCGCTAGAGTGCTGGCAAAACTAAGAGAAAATCCATTCGGAGGCCTGTAAAACTGTGGTCACAGTTTTTTTGATTTAATTTAAATTCACGCTGGCCTTGGATTGCTGCTTGTGACGTGCGACTGCGGCTAAATGACCGACGAAAATTGGTTGAAATTGATCTAAGTCTATTAATTAAATTTAATTGAAAGTTACAGTTGTTAGTCCCCAAGCTGGAGAATTTATTTTGCATATTTAGATCGGTGTTATTGTTGTTATTCCATCGGATGGCGATTTAACCGTATATTCTTCGGTGAGTTTTATCTCTTTTAACTTTTCTCACAATAAGGTAAGAATGTGATCCGCAGATTTCATTGACCTTCACTTGTATCCAGATGAAATTGTAAAAAAAACCGTAAACAGTGCAGCGGCGCCGGTTTGTATCATTAACATACCTGATTTTTGCCTTCTATACACTCTTTATGTGGACCTGAAAAGCGCCTTAACCTAATAGTACAATTTACTGCTTGCTTAATTCTTTTATTAAAGCTGCAGTAGCTTGCCACTTTGTCCGGTCAATAGTGCTCAGAAGTGCTGGAAGGTAATGATGCTCCGTTGTCGTTTCCATTCTTTAGATGCGCTGTTGAGCCCCAAGCATACGCGTACAAATAGCCGAATGCGCTACTTAGTTCCCTATACTTGTAATATGGCTATTCGCTATGTCTGTCTGCTGATCGCTGCTTGGAGTCGGGAATGAGATTGGTATTGGCACAAGTGCTGCAACGGGTGCAGTCGGGAGACGGCGCTCGGGTATCGCCACTGTGCATATCGGCTTATTTGCAGCTGACTCATCTGGGATGGCAAAAACAGTGACCTACTCGAGGGCGACACCTCTCCAGTCACGGCGCAACCAAAGCAAAGATCAACGACACATCAAACCACGATTCAGAATGGGATCGGATTGAGGTGTCGAATATAAGTCGGGTGCATGGCGCATGCTCTCTCTATCTGAACTCCCATCACTGGTTTTTTTCTTGCTTCAGTTTGACTTATGGACAGTAATGGAAGTGCTCTTCTGGATATTATATATATTTTTTCCGAAGCTAGTTTGATGAAATGTCCGTACTCACCTGGTGACCATTCTTATTAGTATTTTATGTTCGGTTCTTGGGTCAGTAACATCAGCTCAACCTTTTCTTCCATTTTGTGGTTGGTGATTGTTTGATTTTGTTCCAGCAATCTGGGAAAGCAACGCTTACCTTCGTATTTTGCGAGAAGTCGTGGATGAGTATTGGAACGTGTATTCGCTATGACGTTGTTAAACAAGTTGATACGGAGTCAAAAGCTATCTGGATAGTGCGGAACGTTGAAAATCTTGGACTGGTGAGTGCAGAGCTATTATATCCCGTGAATGGCGGATCGCTAAGTGAAATTGGAGAGTTGATTCGCGAGATATGAACCCAGATTCAGTTACCGTGAAATGAAAGGGGTCCACTGGTAGTCTCTGCGATCAGCGGTGTTCTAGAACGCTTAAAGACAGTTACCGAGCAGTGTCAGGCCTATGATGCACGATGGTAGTGAGCTCTGATCCACGCGCAAGAAATGAAACGCTGGCGCGGCGCCAGGTGTTTTCGCTTTGAGTGGATATGATATTCATAATTATTAATTAATTGTAACCAATGACCTCATGATGGCTTTCAAGATCCTCACTGGTAGAGCAACGGTCAAATCGGATGAATTCTTTACTTTAGTCACCTCTAGGAGTAGAGGGAGCACTATCAAGATCAGGGCCCCTGTATCGAGAACGCAAGTCAGGTCTAAATTCTTTGTGATCAGGGTGCTTCACTTATTGAACAAAATTTTTGGCCCAGATATTTTCCAAATGACACCTGGAGCCTTTCGTATAAGGGCCACCAGGCTAGTTAATTCAGAGGTCTCCTAAGTTCTCACATTTATGGGATTTGTCTTACTTCAATTGATGTACTTGCCGATTGTGATTGTACAATTATGTAGCGCAGTTTCACTGCGTCCACAAATAAATAAATAAATAAATATTGACTCAGATGATTCTCGCGATCGGAATTTCAGCCTAGTATAACGACGAATTTCGGTTGAAAATGTTCTCTGAATCAAGGAGAGTGGGACAGGGGGTTGATAGTTCTGGCTATTCAATTTTCACCATGTGACTTTTTCAGTTATATGAAATTATTGTTGATAATAAGGATCCGTGCAAATTTATTGTTGCGTTTGAATGCTGTTGTTAATCGAGTCTCATCTAGTACGCATAATGCATGGCTATGGAACGATATTATTGGTAGGTGAAGATCTTCTTTTGTGTTATAAATGGAATTGTTGTAGTGGCAAGGGGTCCCTCACGGCCCATGTGGCAGTTAGCTCCAGTTAAGGCCCTCTGGCCAACAGCAATTCATCTTTTTGGAGTGGGTCGAGCGATATAATGTTTGCTTGGAAAAAACCGTGAGATGCATATTGCCTTCCCCCAGTAAATCATTGTATAGGCCCAATCGCGTTCAAATGCCGTCAGGGTTTGGATGAAACATGGAACCGTGGCGCATCTAAGGCAGGGTTCGATTATCGCCGAATGTTTATGACTACATAGGTTCTATGTATCTCTTGATTGCAAGTGAGAAAGGTATCTTTCAGGTAGAATTTTTGTTCCTACTCAACAGTTCAGTCATCGTTTACGTGCAATGATTTGTGTGAGGATAGTTGCATCATGGACTGGTACATTTGAAGACGTTCGCATGGACTGGCAACAGATTTAGACAATAAGTTTCAACACCTTTTGTGTTCAGATGTCGGCTTCTCAGGTGTTCCTAGTTGCTCGCGACTTTTTTTTTGCTTAATGAAGTTAGCAAGATTGGTGAAGCGCAGGCGCGATGTGATAGTTTTTTGAGATGCCTCCCCTAGCGCATCAGGAATGGCTGGTTTTTTTTATTGTAATAAACTATTTTTGATTCTTGAACGCCAAATGTGAACCGCCCGATGAGAACGATATTACTGTTGAATCGTATGCAATACAATGTTTTGAATTCAACAATGCAATACAATGGATTTGGAACCTTCATGTGCACTTCTGAGCGAAGAAAGTGG